TCATTTTCATAGATGATTTAATTCAACTTTGGGTGGCTCAGGGGTTTGTTCACAAATCTAATGAAAGCCTTGTGGAAATGGAGGATATTGGTAAGGAGTATTTCAAGGAGTTGTTATCAAATTCTTTATTCCAAGATATTGGATGGGATTTGTATGGGAATATTGAATCTTGCAAAATGCATGATCTAGTGCATGATCTTTCATTGCTTGTTTCAAAAGGTAAGACCTTGGTTTGGGATACTAGCTGCAATTCTGATGTTCAGAAGTGTAGTACTATTCGACATTTGAGAGTCAAGTCCAAGGGACAGGATCTTCCAAGAAGTGTTGCTCAAAGGCTGCATTCTTTGTTTTCAAATGTTGATTTTTTTTGTAGCATGGCGTCAGATCTCAAAAGCTTGCGATCCTTGAAATTAGAGGGAGGTTGGAAAAAGTTGCCAGCTTCTCTTGGCAAATTGAAGCATTTGAGGTACCTTGACATCTCAAAAACTTTTGTCAGAACACTACCAAAATCCTTCTCCAAGCTCTATAATTTGCAGACTTCAAAATTTCCTGACGATGATACTCTTAAAACTCTCATCACCTGGAGGCCTGTCTATGATGATCGTCCAAGGGATATATCTATCATGCAGTTAACTTCCCTTCGAACATTATCACATTTTGCTGTGGGCACAAAAAAGGGACGCCGGATTGAAGACCTTGGATGCTTAAGCCAACTTGGAGGAAAACTAGAGATTTGGAAGCTTGAACATGTCAGATCTCAATTGGAAGCTTCTAAAGCAGAGCTGAAAGAAAAGGCAAAATTGCATCAATTGAAATTATGCTGGAGTAGTGGCTATGAAGGAGCAGTCAACAACAAAGATGAAGAAGTTCTAGAAAGCCTTCAACCTCATTCAAATTTGAAAAGCCTCACTATTTATGGTTACAAAGGAAAGATGTTCCCATCTTGGATGGGGAATGATGTCAATGGTTCTGGTTCTTCATTCCTTCTTGACAACATGGTGGAGTTGGAGTTAACTTATTGCAATGAGTGCACGTGTATTCCGAATTTGGGACTATTGCCTTTTCTCAAGGTCCTTTACATTGGAAAAATGGGAAATGTCAGAAGAATGGGCCACAAGCTTCAGCTTGGTGGAGGAGAATCAATCAAATTGTTCCCAGCTTTGAAAACACTCACTGTAGAGTACATGCGAAGGCTAGAAGAATGGGTTGAAGTTGTTGAGGATGCAGCTGTAGGGAGCCAAGGTGTGATCGTGTTTCCTTGCCTTGAGCATGTGAAGATTTCTAATTGTCCTTGGTTGGAGACTTGGCGGATGGGTGGATTTTCATCTCATCATAAGCTCTCTTGGCTGGAGATATGGTGCTGTCAGAAACTGATGGCTATCCCTAGTTTAGATGGGCTCTCAACTCTTAAAGATTTTTGTCTCGTGGACAATAATGGATTAACAAGTCTACCAATTGGGCTTGTATCTTGCATCTCTTTTCAGTTCTTGCGAATTGAAAGTTGCCGAAATCTGAACTTCCCAAGTATAAATGGGTTTACATCTCTTGAACACGTCCGCCTTTCTCGTTGCGATGGATTAAGGTGTCTTCCAATTGGGCTGGACTCTTGCATTTCATTGCAGAAGTTGGAAATTGGAAATTGCCCTAATTTAATTTCCATTTCTGACGATATCAAGAAATTGCGTTCTCTCAATATTCTTGTAATAGCACATTGCAAAAATCTAAGGAGCCTTCCAGAGGAGTGGCTAGATAGCCTCACCCGCTTGAAGAATTTACGCCTTGGTCCTTTTTGTTCGGAGTTGGAGGAATTCCCAGGATTGACCTCCATTCATCAATTCCATCCCTCGCTTGAATTATTGGACTTGTCCGGATGGGATAAACTAAAGTCTCTGCCACATCAGCTTCGACATCTCACTGCCCTCAAGGAATTAAGGTTAAGGAATTTCAATGGCCTGGAAGCTTTGCCAGAGTGGTTGGGAGACTTCTCTTCTCTTCATCAGCTGGAGATTGGGAAATGCTCTGATTTGACTCATCTGCCTTCTATTGAAGCCATGCGAGGCCTCTGCAACTTAAAATATCTTACAATTGTGGATTGTCCGAAATTGAAGAAAAGATGCGCCAAAAAGAGGGGCCCCGAATGGTCCAAGATCTCCCACATTCCCAATATCAACATACAGGGGAAGAACGTGCAGGGGAAATACCAACATCCCTCCAGTGGTATGTTTAATTTGTGGAACCCTAATCCCTTCATTCCACATCATTTAAGTATTATGCTAATCAGAAATTTAACGGCTGTAAAGCATTTCTTTTTAATCTTTTACTTTGGAAAAAAAACACGTCCTCTCCTCTAAAACATATTATGTTATTCAAATAATCAAGT